TATTAAAATGTTCCTTTCGACCATGATGCCTAGTTTTCATTATTGTGGAACATATTTTTCATGCAAATGTTATTTATCATGCGAAGACTAAAAAAATAGTATCTTGCAGATAAATAAGTTAAAAATGCTGCAGTATAAATTCTAATTCTGAAATCTGAATGGATGAGAGTCTTACCAAGAAAGATTCATGAAATTAGCAACTAATCTCGAAAACAGGAGACTAAAGTTTCATGTGAATAAACATTATGTAATGATTTGCAAAATGTCTGAGGATGTCTATAAACCTGGACTTTGAATAAGTGTTAGGTTAGGTTGAAATGACTCTCTTAAAAACCGATGTGAATAAAATGATTTGAGAAATAATTTTGAGGCAACCTGGCCTGCTGGGCTGCAAAGACAACAGAAGTAACTACCTGGGTAGTTTTTGTTCAATAATTACTTGTGATTTCTCTGGAAGGTGAAAGTCGTGGAGCAGTCACGTTAATGATCTTCCCCTGCCAGGTATACTCATTGGCCTTTCTTGTTGAAACAAGCAGTCTGCATTTATTTGAGGCCTTCACACAAATTCTAAGCCCAGGAAATCACTGAAAGCTGGCATAAACAAGTAAAATCTCTAAGTGGAATTTTTGAAGGCACTTTTAACACTTCCTTGTTAAAGTATGTCTATAAAGGAATATAGAATCACTTTATGTTGGAAAGTAGAATGAAGTTCCTGTTCTATAATTCAGAGAACTGACTTAGATTCAAAGATTAGATGAACCTTCAGATAAAAATTCTTTTAATGTAGGTGGATACAATTTGAGTTCAGAAGATAATACTGTGAAGACCTGGCCTGTGACTAGTTGTGTGCATTCAGGGAAATGTGTTTTAGAAATCTCTGGCAGTTTCACTGTGATATTAGGAAAAACATGGTAGGAGAAGTTCCTAGAAAACAAATGCATTGTTTTCTTCCTTTAAGTGTCAAAGATACTAAAGAATTTAAGGACATATTCTACCTGATCATGCATAGCAATTGGGCTAGGTGGGATGGTTATAAGATTTCTGTATGTGTAACCACTGTGCAGTCACAGGCACAACATGGGCACTATAATTTGGCAAAAACAGTAGCTGCTAATCAAATACAATTTCAGTAAAATTTGTGAGTCCCAAACCATCATCTATGTAAGTGATAAAGCCTGATGTTTATAACTTATTATTGCTCTTTGGATAAAAATATTGTGATGAAGAGACCCCTGATAAAACACAAGGTAGGGTGATTTATTACACATTATAAATGCATGAGTATGATAATGTTGATGGCAAACATCAAAAAGTCTTCAGTTTGAGTACCGTTTCGGGCATTTACCATCCATGTGATTTTAGGCAAGTTAATGTAACTTCTCTGAACCTGTTTTCTTCTCTGTAAAAGAGGGCAAATCATACAATTATCTCAGGGTATCTATAGGAAGTAAGTGCTACTAAATGAGAAAATGCATTACTTACCATAGTAATAATTCACAATAAACCATTTTAGGGGAAATTTGACATATCTGGTTTCCCGGGGAGAAGTCTCTAAGAGATCAGAGTAGTTTGAAAAGGCTTCCCAAACTGATTCACATATATATGTGACCTTCTACTCCGTTTTAAAACCATCTAGTTGAATTAAAAAAAATAGGTTATTCAGAAAAATCATTAGCTTAATCAGTTAAGAATAAAAGCTCCTGCCCATATCCCTGTCCCCTGCTGTCCTACATTTTTCTCAAACCTTCACTGGTTTATTGATGATAATTTATACTCATGATGTATTCTTTTGCTAGGTCTTGGTATCCCTATTTAAATGCATATGACTTTATTCCTGCAACCAAACTTATTTATTATCATTTACTAGCAATGATCCAGAGATATTGCACTCAGAGCACTTAACAGCATGAGAATTACTATCAAAAACTAAGTGGGATACTGTTTGATGAGGATGGAATAGAGGTAAGGCCACATCACATGAGAATGAGAATCAGGGATGGAGTAGGCTGATTAAAGTTTACAGGGCAGGGAAATTCTGAGCTGGGACCTGAAAGAAGAGTAGAAATTCACCAGGCAGGCATGGGTAGAATAAATATTTCAAGCAGAGTGTACATCAAATGCAAATGCATGGGGCATGACATAGCTTAATACTTTGGAGGCAGTATTATTGATTCAAGATAACTGGAATATAGGGAAACTGATGGGATGAGGTATGGCAGATAGTCAGAGGCCATATCATAGAAGGTTTTCTAAGACAAACAAATGTGCTTGGACTTACTCTGTTGGCAGCTGGCATCTATCAATTAAGCAAGGGATATATTGCTAGTTATTAGTAATGTCAACCAGATATTTCCATTCCTACCCCTGGTCACATGTAAAGTTCTACTGCCCAGCCCTTGATTTTAATGGCATGTTTTGGCCAATTACATATAAGCAAAAATAGTATGTATCACTTTTGACTGGAAGATTTCAGGTAATTCATGACTCTGTTGCTGCCATGGCCACTGGAAATTCTCCAGATGGTAGCTCATCTACCAACATGCATTCCTTCAATCTGGATCTCCCAAGGAGAGCAATAAAGAGCAGAGCTTTAAATTCACCCATAGTAAATATGTAGTATAAGGAAGAAATAAAACTTGAAGTTTCAAGCCACTGAGATTCTGGGGTTGCTTGTTACTGCAGCATAATTTAGCTTATCCTTATTTTCAGGCTGACACATTATTACCTTGCCAGAACCCTTCCTTATACTTCATCCAAATGAATTTTTCCCATAATCCTATAATGCTTTTTCCTAGGATTTTTCCATCTGTTTTGTTTTTTGGTAGGGTCACTGAACTGCACTGACATCAGATGATCCTAGGTCTGCAATATGTTACCTGCATAACTTGAAGTGAGCTACCTAACCTTTCCAGGCCCTAGTTTTCTGACCTGTGAAGACTAATAATATTTGCTTTGTGGCATTATTGTGTTGGAAGAGGCCATCAAGAGGATGTGAGTGCTGACTGACCCGGAGCTGGCCCAGGCAATCAGAAGCTCCTCCCCTCCTCCTCAGTCCTTGGGTATATATGTTGTGCCACCACAGCTGGAGTCACTTTCAAGGCTACAGCCTTGAGAGTAAAGTTGAGACTATCTGGGCAGTATACATGACTGAACCCAGTGAAGACCTCTATATAAGCTTTAAAGATTCTGGTGGGTGGGGACAGAGATCTGTTCATCTTTGTGGCTGTCCAAGACAAACCTCATATATGTAACTTTCCTTGCTTATTAAACTGCCACCTGCCAATTTGGAGCAGCCAACCTCTTCCTTTGGTCTCTTTTTGCCCTGCATAAACAGAGGCCAGTTTCACATTTCACCTAGGAAGCTCATAAGGTTTCAAACCAACTTACTGTGAGAATCAAAACCCATTATAGGAAGTACTTTATCATTGTCTGACATATAATGGGTACTCATTAAATAGAAACTATAACCATAGTTATTAATATTGCTAATATTCCCATGTCATTCATCTGAATCTTTCAACTCCTGGTGCTCAGTTTCTACAACAGGCAGTCAGTCAGTGACCGATCACAGTGTCCCTTTGCACCTGAAGTCCTATAACTCTATTGTTGATAGCTCAGCAACTTTTGAGCTCCACTGCTCTAGTGATAGTCACGATGTTATCAGTTCTTCATGATTTATAATCATAATTTCATTCTGGAAACACTACCAGCTACTTGAGGATTCCCATTCATGAATATAGATTTATACATATTTTGTCAATTTTTACTTTAGGATGCAAAAGCCTAAGTATCTATGAACTATGCATAGAGCCAATCAATGTTACCAATTATATGACTATTTTTATATAGATGAGGTGATGGAATAAATATCATTGTATTGTCTTGATAAGAATAAGCTATAGGTAATAAGCCAAGAGTGTGCTAAATGAAATGATGTTCAAGGAAGGACTGTGTGTGTGTGTGTGTGTGTGTGTGTGTGTGTGTGTGAGAGAGAGAGAGAGAGAGAGAGAATAATAATGAGAATATGTGGGGTTGATGGCATGATTTGGTTGCAGGATTAAGTTTTTCTTTCTGTTTTTGGGTAGGTAAATAATTAACATAGAATGATTAAAATGTAAGAAACTTACTGAATGAACTATAAAATCGGAGACTAAAATATGTGAGTCTTTCCAGTTTCTGATGAATCTGATTACCTTGGGGTGTTTTACCTCAATGATTCTGTGGTTAATTAAAGGAAGTAAAATACTATCTTAAGTTCCAGTCACAACTGATTGTATGTAGCTACTTAGAATGTTATACTGAAATAGATTGTAAAGCTAAATCAATTAGTAAGGGCTGCGGTGGGCACTGGCTGGGCCCCAGAACAGGATAAAACTGTCAGCCCTAAAGCCAGTTAGGTATTTGCTAATGCGTGCAGAACGCTTGAGCATTACCACATGGGGGCGCTCTCTTCCTCAGATATACATATACTCAGTTTTTTATTTTTTTCCTCACTGTAATTCTTTTTTTTCCCAATAGAAAATATGACCTGCAGTGTATCATGCCACATTAAAATTTTTCCAGGCTTACTATGTCCATGTCATATAAAATATATTCCAAATAACTATAGATAACTCAAACTTAATTTTAGCTAACTGGCTATGTCAAAGAATATGAGAGGCTGCAGATACTAAGGCTAAGGGACAAATTATGCTGGATGGATTTTTGGCAATGGTACTTATTAATAGTCACAAATGTGGATCCATACCTGATATTTTTTATCTAAGTAAAGTATGAAAGTGTAAAAATCAGAAAATATTCAAACTACTTCTTGTCAGAAGGGCTCTATATCTGCTGAAATCTAATATGTGATCAATAGGTGCCATTTGTTTGGCTTTTACAATTTATGAAGTAATGCCAATACATAGGGCCATTTGCAAGATAAGACAGCATAGTGGTGGTATCCCCTGCAGTGAGAGTCAATTAAAATCTAGACATTATCTTTTTTTTAAATTTAACAGGTTTTTGGAATGTTAAATACTTCGGTTCCTGCAACAACATCAGGAGATGTATCCAGCTTCCGCAAGAATTCTGCAAGAAGGACATAAAATAAAGTAATTATGGCAACAAAGGAGCATTCATCAAAGGCATATCCCAGGAATTAAAGCTTAGTACAAGGAAAGTAAATGTGACCGCAGAATCACTAAAAACATTCACCAACAAGAAAGACATTGTTTGCCAACCAGAGAAAAGCCAAAGGAAACAAAGATATGAGGAAAAGTCAAGTGATCTGAATTCATCCCAAATTAACCCAGTGGCTTATTCAAAGTGTCTTAGGGACAATGCTGATATTTAGTTCACTAAAGCTTAAAAGGACAGACCAGAGGTCAGTCACCTGTGTACATACCCAAGGGCTTGATTGAACAGTATATTTGGCAGTTGTTTATTTGGCTTGGCAATTTTAAGGACCAGATTTTTTTTTTTGCACATGAGAGCTGCTTATTACCTGCTCACTGATGCTAGAATTTTCCCCAAAGAGTGTGATGATTTCATTTTTATTAGAACTTATGCACTCTGTTCAAATATAGCCAATTATATTAGAGTTTGGAGTTCCATTTAAATGTTACCTTTTCTTGAAAAGTTATGCGTAAACAGTTACCTAAATGAGTTAGTCTTAAGGACTTAGAAAACTCAGAAGGTTAGAAATGAAAGTGCAGCTCACTCTCAGGAAGGAGAATTGGTTGTAAAGGTCACATATTGTTTAGGTATCTTTGAGAGACCAGGTTTTGATAGGAATAGAATAGGAAAAGAGAGCACATATTAGGGTAAAAGTGAACAGGCTGGTGGTACTGAAGACTTTGGAACATTTTATAATTATTCCTGGAGGTGGTATCATGAATATTATTTTTTGTGTATTGTCATTTTCTTGACCCTTTGGATTGTTGGGAGTGAAAAAAAAAATCTCCTGAGATAAGCAAAATTTGATTCTGTGTTATATTTCTCTATCTGGATTTGTAATTTGAGGTGTTTATAAGATTTATAAGGAATGCTAGGGTAACAACTGACAAAGTCTGGGGAACTGCTTTCTGCATATAGGGTAAAGGATTGAGATATTTTGGTCCACATAAAACAGAACTACTGAATACCATATGTATTTGAAATTATTTTGCACAAAGTTAAAGTGATGGCTTATACCTCTTCCCCATATTGCCCTCCTTCCAGGGCTTGAAGTATGAAAACTGCTTTTGAGATTTTTCTAGACCCACCATTGGAGGCTTTGTTTTCTTTCCTCAGAAGGAATTTGTGATAGAAATAGAGCTTACAATAAGGCTGCAGGGATTGAAAGTAGAAAATATATTTTTCATATTTTTAATGTGAAATTCCTTTGTACTTATTAGCATTTAACATGATTGGAGGAGATAAAGGGATTCACAGACATCTTCCCTGACCCCCTTCTTCATGTTCATTGTCCTGCTCTTCCATTGCATTTGTCAGGGTGAATCAACTTCTTTCCATAATTATTTTGTGATTCTTAGTTGCAATTATGACCTACAAATCACAGTTTCTCCCATGTGCTTTTTGATCAGACACCCCTCATTTACTTGCAGAAAGACTTTCACCTAATTTTACTGCAATATTTTCCCCAGCTTTACTGAAGTAAGATTGAAAAATAAAAGTAACGTATTTTTAAGGTGTACAATGTTTTGAGAGACCAGGTTTTGATAGGAATAGAATAGGAAAAGAGAGCACATATTAGGGTAAAAGTGAACAGGCTGGTGGTACTGAAGACTTTGGAACATTTTATAATTATTCCTGGAGGAATAATTTCATATACATATGCATTGTGATTAATTAACTTATCCATCACCTTACATAGTTATCATTTTTTTTGTATATGGTGAGAACACCCGAGGACTGCTCTCTTAGCAAATTTCAAGTATACAAAACATTACTATTAACTGTCATCACCCTGCTGTACATTAGGTCTCCAGGATTTATTCTTCTTATAATGGAAAGTTTGTACTCTTTGGCTGACATCTCATTTCTCCCACCCCTCAGCCACTGGTAACCACCATTCTACTCTCTCTTACTATGAGTTTGACTTTTTTAGGTATAAGTGAGATCATGAAGTATTTATCTTTCTGCTTTCTTCTTACTATGTAGCCTAATGTCCTCTCGGTTTATCTATTTGTCACAAATGGCATGATTTCTTCCTTTTTAAAGGTTAAATAATAAAGTTTATATGTAAAAAGGTTGTATGTAAAGTGGCTAATATCAATAATCATCAGGGTAATGCAGTAAAAGACCACAGTGAGCTCTCACCTCACACCTGTTAACATGGCTGTTATCAAAAGGTCAAAAGATAACAAGTGTTGGTTCAGATGCAGAGAAAAGAGCTCTTGTACACTGTTGATGGGAATGTAAATTGGAGCAGCCACTATGGAAAACTGTGTAAAGTTTCTTCAAAAAATTAAAAATAGAACTACCTTATCATCCAGCAGTCCCACTTCTAGGAATATATCCAAAGGGAACAAAATTAATATCTTAGAGAGATACTGACATCCCCATACTCATTGAAGCATTATTCATAGTAGCCAGGGTATGGAAGCAGTCTAAGTGATCATCCTCAGATGAATGGGTAGTTTTACAGCAATTTAAAAATTGGCTATGGTCCATTTTTTTGTGACTGTGGTCACAAGGAACTACAATCTATCACAATCATTTCAGGCCTTAATTCTTCCTTTCACTCTGACAGAGTTATTTCTCCTCTTCTTTGATCTTTTGTTGGAGAAAATTGGGGTACACCCAAAATAGTACAAAGAAGAGCAAAGTGATTAACGTAAATGTAGTCAGATGTGTGTGTGTGCGTGCACACAAGACTGTAAGCAAAATCAAATTTAAAAAGACCTTTTCCAAAGATCATTTTGTAAGAGGTTCTCCCTTACCTGGTTCCAGGGGCTAGGATAATGAGACCACAAAAATTGCATCCAGTCTGTTCAAGGAATTTAATAAAGGATTTATTTTAAGTAGAAGAACTATAAAGCAGAGGCTAGTTTTTGTTCCTTCTTCCATAAGGATATTATGCAATTTCATATAGCTAATAATTAGGTTATTATATATAATAATTACATATTTATTATATAACATTTTAATATAAATATATAAAATAACAAATAATATAGCTTTATTATATTATTAAACTAATATGTAGTATTATATATTTTATATAGATAATACATGTATTTATATATGAAAATATTGCACAGAACATATTTATAGTAAAAATATTGTTTGAATTTCAAACTTAACTGGGTATCTTGTTTTTTCATTTATTTATTTTTGCTAAATCTGACAACCCTACATATTAGGAACATTCAAAGTTAGTAAGGATGTAAACTGTGTTGACAATGAGCGTTCCAGGCAAAGAAAATAGCAGGTGCAAAAGACTTGAGTTGGGAATATGTCCATAGTGTTCTGACAATGGCAGAGAGGCCAGTGTGACTGAGCAGAGGAGCCTAAGGGGTGATACGGTTAGACAGTTGAGGGAGTCAACAGTTGATGAACCTTTGACTTCTATTTTGTTGAGAAATCTCATAGAAGGCTTTGGAAAAAAGCCCAAGACATGGCTAGTATTCTGAAAGGATCACTCTTGCAATTATGTTGAGAATAGATTTTACAGGGGAAAGATGAGCAAACAGTCTACTCTAGCTGAGGGGCTACTATGAAACTCAGCTGAGAAGTGATAGTGGTGTGACCAAGTACTTGCAATGCAGGTCATGACAAGTGACTGGCTTCTGGATATACTTCAAAGGTAATGCTGTTGTGATACACTGCTGATCTCATATGTGGCATGTGGCAAAGAAAGGAGTAAAGGATGGCTAGAATAATATTTACTGAGATGCAGAAAGTAATATACAGAGCAACTCTGTGTATCTTCAAGAAACCAGAGGGGAATATTTCAGCTTTTATTCTGAAAATAAAATTTCCTTATGATAATATGTTGAGTTTCAAAATTACAAGTTGTATACCTATTTTGTATGGATGTGACACTTCAATAAAATATTTGAAAATAAACATAAAACAGCAATAAGAAAAATACAAGAATGAAAATATTAAAATATAAAGTCATTCAAAGTTAGTAAGGATGTAAACTGTGTTGACAATGAGCGTTCCAGGCAAAGAAAATAGCAGGTGCAAAAGACTTGAGTTGGGAATATGTCCATAGTGTTCTGACAATGGCAGAGAGGCCAGTGTGACTGAGCAGAGGAGCCTAAGGGGTGATACGGTTAGACAGTTGAGGGAGTCAACAGTTGATGAACCTTTGACTTCTATTTTGTTGAGGAATCTCATAGAAGGCTTTGGAAAAAAGCCCAAGACGTGGCTAGTATTCTGAAAGGATCACTCTTGCAATTATGTTGAGAATAGATTTTACAGGGGAAAGATGAGCAAACAGTCTACTCTAGCTGAGGGGCTACTATGAAACTCAGCTGAGAAGTGATAGTGGTGTGACCAAGTACTTGCAATGCAGGTCATGACAAGTGACTGGCTTCTGGATATACTTCAAAGGTAATGCTGTTGTGATACACTGCTGATCTCATATGTGGCATGTGGCAAAGAAAGGAGTAAAGGATGGCTAGAATAATATTTACTGAGATGCAGAAAGTAATATACAGAGCAACTCTGTGTATCTTCAAGAAACCAGAGGGGAATATTTCAGCTTTTATTCTGAAAATAAAATTTCCTTATGATAATATGTTGAGTTTCAAAATTACAAGTTGTATACCTATTTTGTATGGATGTGACACTTCAATAAAATATTTGAAAATAAACATAAAACAGCAATAAGAAAAATACAAGAATGAAAATATTAAAATATAAAGTCCTACAAATCTGAGACTTTATTAAATATATAACAAGTATGAGCACTTATAAATTGGAAGCAAAAGTGAATGCAAATCCAAACGGAATATTACAGGGTGCTGTTTTAGAATAACCATGGAATTTACATCACTAGATTAATTTAATAGTGATGGGTATGTTAGGGAGAATAGATAAGACCTGGTCACTAGCAAGTTGGAGGATGGGAGGGAAGGTGAAATCAAAGTCCTATTTT